CGCGTTTAGGGGAGCGATACTACTCAAAATCGAGTTTTGCGGCACTTCGGACTCATTGTCCTCATTGTCCGTGGCAGCCACTGAGGATTCGCGCGAGCTAAGAGTGGCGGAAATGTCCGCCAGGACCGGAACGACACTATTCCGCAAAACGTTTAAATAAGTCAGTAAATAATATTATAAATGAAAATAATCACTGAAAACGGGCGAAAAAGAAAACCTTCACTTCGAAAACTCCCCGCAACAATGGAATGAAGCTAGGCGTTTCGCAAAATTTCGGTGACTTACAGATTGCGACCGTTCTACCTGCCTACCAAGGGTCGATTGATCGGACGAGAACCGGTATTATTCAACGTGGTATGGTCGTTGCCTATAAGTACATGCTCAAACGCGGGTTTTATGCGTTCAGTATTTAGGGCTCTGGTTAATATTCTTCAACGAGTGGTTCTACATATTGCTCTTCTTGGGTTTGTGTAAACTCTGCTTCTTCTTCTTGAGTTTCTGTATTTTTAGTCTTAATTTCTTATTTGCTTTGTATGTATAATCTTTGACGTCAGTTGATGAAAGCTACTTTGAGTTGATCGATTACTGAATGCTCATTTTTTAGCACGAAATCGTTTTTGGCGTTAAAAGCATTACTTAATACTTTTCGCTGCTTCAACTTGTATCTGGAGAGAACTAAAAAATCAATTAATTTTGGTGATTTGAAGATGTTCTATCTGTTTAAAATATACGGTAAAACGAGGAAGAGCTATAGAGACAGGTTACACTTGACACACTATATGTATACATACATAGTGTAAGCCATCGCGCGTAGATTGAAAAAAAAATTCTAACTGAACTAATCCAAGACTGAAAAAAATTAAACTTAATTGAGAAGGTTTAATCATAAAGGAATCAAAGGGTATATGAAGGGGAAAAAAATTTAATCCGTAGTAAACACAATTAATCATTGAAAATAAGCCCTAATAAATTCGTTTTACATATTTTGCAACTATAAGCTGAAGAGAGATTCGTATCGTCTTAAAATCAAGAATGCGTTGCGTGATAGAAAATAAGAAGACGGAACCCATGTTTTCTGAAATAACCGAGGTAAACTCAAATAT